ACAGCTTCTTGATAACATTTTCCTTTAAGAAGACTAAAAGCCATGTTTCTTTGCATGCATATTTGTGTTTCAGATGTACAATATTGTTCAGCATTATTTGCAGCTCTGATTGCATTTTTATACATACCAGAGTATCTGTACAATACTGACAGTGCATTTTGTGCCCAACTATTTTTAGGATTTTTAGATGTAAGCCAAATAAGTAAATCAATATTATGATGAATTGATGTTAATACTTCTGTATCAGCTTTAATTTGTTGTATGTTTGCTTCAGTATAATTACAAATACTTTCTTCGTGAAATCCTAATGTGGTTGAATGATATAACAAATCAAATGATTTCACAGGATTTTCAAATCTACTCAGTAAACCTTGCCCAACCCAACTATTTATAAGGGTTGGATCAATATTTTGACTCAAAGTAAAAGCTTCTTGAGCAAGATTTACATCATTATGAATCATACATTTGATGGCTAAGTTATTATAAGCTATTGCATTTATTTCAATTTCCAGACATTTAACAAAACAGTTATAACTTAGATGTTCATTTTTGCTCTCGTCAATAGCTTCAATGATTCCCATAGTGTTCCAAAAATCTTTGTTTTTTGGATCTAATGATAAACATTTTTTAATAGCTAGTTCTGCTTTGGATTTAAATTCTAATCGTTCGTTTTTATCAATATCTGAGTTCAATGCATTTGTCAAATAACATTTGGCTAAATCGTACCAGATATATTTTTGTGCAGGATTTAATGGCAATTTTTTAGATGTTATATTTAATGCTTGTGAATAACATCTCCTAGAATAGGTATATAATTGTGAGCCTTTCACTTCATAATTTTCTTGAGTTGTGTTAAATATATTGGATGGTAAATATATAAAAGATAATTCTTCAGGCATCGCTGTCATAAACAAACATAAATCTCCAAATAATTTCCAAAGTAGTGCATAATGGTTATCAATCAGTAATGCTTTGTACAAATATTCACAGGCATTTTTGCATAAATCATAACTCGTATGTACCTGACAAACAAAAATTGACTTTGCATGTTCTATAAACAATTTTGCTGTATCAAATAACGCAATAAAATCATTAGAATAAGAATTGATAATTTTGTAAAATGATTGAATACTAGAATCTACTTGCCCAATACGATATTCAATTTTAGCTATTTGTAATTTTGGATATAAAAGAGATGGATCAATTTCAATACATTTAGAATATGTAAGTTTTGCACCAATGAGCGATTCTTGTCCTAAAAGAGCATCACCTAAACATTCATAAGTGTTTGCATTATTTGGATCATGTTTAGTAGCAATTTGAAAATTGCTGACAGCATCTTCATATTTGTTTAATTTCAAATAGTGAATACCTAATCTTAAAGAAGCCCATTTGACATTTTTTGATGTTTTCAAATACTCTAACAATGCTTCTTGTTCTTTTGACTTTGATAAAGTAAGGTATATATCGGATAAAGCAAGACCATTTTCTTCATCATCGGGATTCAGGATCACAGATTTTTCATAGCAAGTCATAGCAACAGGTAAATGTTTCATTTCTCTGTAATAATGTCCTAACTTTGTTATTAAGTCACATCTATAGGGAGAAATCCGAGAAGCTTCCAAGTACAACTTTCCAGCCTCAGAAAATTTTCCTTGTTTCCATAATACATTACCAAATAGTAGCAATGCATCTACATCAGCTGATAAATTATGCATATTTTTTAAAGAGTGTAAAGAATCATCTAGTTGACCAAATTCAGCAAGATATAATGATTCTAGAAAGATAAAGCGATCTTTTCTATCACATTTATTCTGCAATGTATTTAAATAATTTTTTGCAGTCTTTTGATCATTTAAATTACAACTAGCTATAATAATATATTCAATTAGTTTATTGTTTAAATTATCATTAAACATATCAATAGCTAACTGACGTCCTTGTATAGAACAGCACTGTCGAGAACAACAATAAGCTTCAATTTCCCACATAAGCATAGTCTGATAACAAGAAAATGTTGGTTTCAAAATTTTTTTTGCTTGTTGAACACATCGTATTACATCATCATAGCAATGAATTTTAATCTGGATCTCTGTTAATAAAAACCATGATTGCCATGAACGACTAGTAACTTGAAGAACTTTACGTAATAATTTACGACTTTCTTCAAATTCGTTTAATCTTCTCAAAGCAATACTTTTAGCTATTATTGAATTTGGATTTGTTGGTTGTGCCAATAATAAAATTTCACATCTTTCCATAATTAATAAACTCATTTTGTCAATTAATTTTAGGACATTATCTTCAGGTTCAGTAATGGTCTTAATATAATTGCTGATAAATGATTCACAGTAAAAATTTATTGCAATAGCATTGTTATTATATATAGATAACATTTTTTCACATGTGTCTACAAGTTCTTGCCTTTTCCCTTTGGATTTTAATACAGGAATAAGTTTGCAATAAATTTCAAATCTTTGATCAAAACTATCGTCTTCACACAATGCTAGATAAATTTTTTCTAAATGTTCATCTAAAGGAGAAGTTTCTTCTGTGAATGGAAACTCAACTAAAACTCTACATATGGCCAAGTATTGTGGTGTTATTACTTTGTTTTCAATTATTGGTAAAACATTTGATACAAAAATTCCTAAATCCAGCTTTGTTTTATAATTCTTCCAAAGTTCAATACATTTTTTAGCACGAGTCTTACACTTGGTTCCATCAGTTTCTAAACTCAATAAATTAGCATATGTGTAGAATAACTGTTGAGAAACTGTAAGCTTATCACATTTTTCGTAATACTGCTCAATGCCTTGCCAGGCAAATAAGTTATTAGGAGAAATATCAATGACTTTTTGGAACTGTTGAATAGATTCATCTTTTTTAGACGGCATTTCTAAAAGACTAGCACCATAAAGAATCAAACCAGAAATATTTTTTGGATCAGTCTTTAAAATAGTTTTGCACAGTCTTGCTGCATCAGAAAAGTTTTTCTTCATAAATTCTTCTTTTGCAAGTTTCAACTGTTGTTTAATGTTGGTCTTATCCATCTTGTTAATAGATATGTTTAAATTTTGTAATATCTAAAAACACATACAGTACAAGTCAAAAAAGAATAAAAGTCTTAAAAAGATTTACTATATCTGTTATTGATCTTAAAATAAACAACATAATATAAAATTAATGTATCTGTAAATTTTACAAGCAATGTGACAAATTTACTTTTTACAGTACCATTCTAGAAAAATATTAAACTTAATCAACCTGATGAAGTTAATTATATTTATATTTCATACATTTATACATGTTAATAATATCTGTGCAAGTTATATTAATCTTACATATTTTAAACATATACTTTTAAATTTAACAATAATATAATTATGTCTTTTAAAAGTTTTTAGTTTGATCTAAACAAATAATTTTGGTTTATTGCATGACAGATAAAGATAAAATAGTTGATAATTAAATTAAAAACTAGTTTATTCATTTTCAATATCTACCTACTTTATACTTAAAGAATTATATTAAATGTAAATTTCTTTTTCTTTAGTAAGATATAGTTAAAGACACTGATTTACCTTAACCATTGAGTTATAGAGATCAATTTATTTAAAACTGTAGAATAATTTATAAATGAATATACTTTTACTTTTAAAAAGATCCATCAACTTTACAATCATAAAATGTAGAGAGCTTCTATTCTAGTTTATACTTTATATTTTAATATAAATACATAACATGGATAAAATAAGATATATTAGAATAAATGTTTACTCACTAAATTTAGTTAAACAAGCAGGATAACAGGACACGATAGTAAATAAATACAATCTTTACAGTGATATTTGTCAAAAACCTGTAATATTTAAAATTGTATTAAGTTTAATGACCATTGATTATCACAACATTTTTCACCAATACTAGTACCCACCCAGTTGCTTGAGCTAGCAGAATTTTAAGTCACATTTCATATCAATATTACTAATTTACACAATGATCAAAGTCGATTTCAAGAAAAAATACCAAAACGTAAATATTATATTGTAAAATCAGTATACATTTCACAGTTAAATAATTATTAATTTTATGACTATATAACCAATAATCAATGAATTATGTTGATAAATAATATTGAAATCACAGTTCTATTCGTGGTTCTATTTATCTGTGATTGAAAAATAAAATAAATATAACTTAATAGTTTAATACTTGCTCTGTGTTACAAACTGGACATGGGGCACTTTTCCTAAAATCGTGGAAATTTATCATTTTTTATCATAAAACAAAATGTTATCATTAATCAAAACGATTGGTGGGATTTTTACTTCAGCCTGTTAATAAATGTAAATTTGTGATATTATTTCCCCCCTCCGATCCATATCAGGGATTTAGTTTAACGAAAGTTTAGCCTTCTCTCCGAAGTCCGAGATCATAAATCTATATCCTTGGACGATGTACATTAGCCGGTTGATTAAAGATATAAAAATATAATTTCATAAATCCATAGTAGGTAATTAACTAATATGTCTATAGTTTCGACACGCACATACGATTTTTTTTGTTTGACAGTCCTACTCCTGCTCACGCACTTCTATTACAAGTAATCTATGTCTCCATCCTCACAACTACTCCTAAGCCTACAAACCCAGTATCTATCCAGTCCCAGTGGCTTGTTTTCAAATTTTTTTGGGGGAGGTCTACAGTTCATATAACTATGATAGTTAATAGTTTTTTATGCTATAAATACCCTCACTTTTACACAAAAGTAGATACCTACCTAATGACGATTGCCTTTATCGCACTTAATATTTAGTTGCAACTTGGAAACCGTCGTCAGAATAACATTACTATTTACTATAAATGTATGGGCGCATGTAAACTCCGCCACTGAAAAAAATCAGGTAAAATTGAATACATGTAAACTCCGCCAGTGAAGAAAATCAAGTAATACCTAGTATAAAATTAATATAATATGTTCTTAAAAAAAAATTATAGTATAATATTATCATATCAGATCGTTCACATTAAATATTTAAATTATAGTAAAAAAATCATAAATAATCATTATACCTAATAATACAAAAATATATAGTTATGTTACGTATGTCAATTAAAATGATGTGATACAATTTGTAAATATTTTAAATCTTGTATTACTTCATTAGTAAATATCATCACAATAGATGTCAACGTATTTAACGTGAGAAGGCAAGAGGCAATGTAAACACTGAGCCACTGAGCAGCTGAACAAAAAAAAAAACTGGCGGAATTTACATTAGATCTTTTATTACCTTTTTATTTTAACCTGTATTCTGGCGGAGTTTACAATCACCCAAATGTATAACTTCTGTACTTCTTTATTTAACTATACTGCAGGAACATGAATCTGTTTTTTCTTTTCTCTAGGAGAGAGTCTAGTACCCTCCCCCATCGTAAATACTATCTAAATAATGCTGTTTACTAGAACCTGTTAAATTTAACTACCAAAAGTTCTGTACCTAGTCTTTATTGAAAGCTTCTTCTACTGGCAATAATAATCTCTCAATAAAAGTTTTAGTCGTAATTACAATATTCCGCCATTTTTCTCTGACTTTCACAATTTCACGTCAATCTTCTATGGCCATATTGCGATTAGATCTTCCGTTACTTTATATTGAAAGTAAAACATTAAAAAAATATACCTAACCGGAAATTTTTTAATACCTACCTAAACAAAAAAATCATTGTAGGTACATATGGAATTCATAACTTTATTATCTGTTTTAGTGCTTTTCATCGTATTAAAACTTGGGTAAGATCTACAATGTGCAATATGAGGTTAAGCAGTTTGGCTTTAATTCACATTCACAAAAATAAATTTAACGATTCAATACTTTTTGAAAAACAAAAAAAATAACATCATAAATCATTTTGGATTAAATGTCAGACGTTTATCCTTATGATTTGATCTATAATTCTTACAATATTTTTAATAATACCTACATTTTAAATTATATTTTAATTTATAATATTATACAATTTTTTGCATTACATTTAGAGTTATAATTATTAGGTGGATATAATAATGTAAATATTATATTATATTGTATGTAAACATACATTTAATTTTGCACCTACTGAGCTGATTTTCTGCGGGCGCCCCTGCTATTGGCTATTGTGTTTATAAATATTCGTTATTTTTTAATTGATATATGAACATTATGAACAACTAATACAAAACATTATATTAAAATTATTATTAAATGTATAACTAACTATGAGGCTTTAGAATTTTACATTTACAGACTGTTTTTTATCTCCATTTATGGAAAGAAAAAAAGTAAAAAGTCAATAATTATATTGCTCAAAATTTAAAAAAGAAAAAATACCATATATAGGAAATTCGAATATAAACATTTTGAGTACCTACCTGCTATTGTTATTTGTTCTCAATTAAAAATAAAAATTAGTTTTGGGTTTTTCCAAAAAAATTTTCTTTTAACCAAATACTTTATTCGCCAAGAGAATATGACCATTTTGGTGTTTTGCAATTTGCAGATACAGCTGTTGGTTGCTTAATCAATTTTTGTAATACATTTTCTTATACCTTTTAACTCTTGTCTAAGGCAGTAAGGCCTAAGCTAGCCCTTCACTTTATTTTCTATTATTGTCTGTTGTTAAAGTATAGATAGTGCTGTGGTAGATACTTGGGAACGACTAATTCTTGTTTATGCGCACTCAATATTAATTTTATCAATAAATAGTCTATACTTACTCTATTTTGATTTTTTTAATAAAATGTATATCTAAGTTGAAAATATTGTAGGATTTTATCTAATAAAAAGTCTTGAAATTAATATACTTTCATCAGAATAATAAGTCTAAAAAAATTAATAATCAAATGTATTGACAAAAATAAAACAATATCTTATAAATTTATGTAAATCATAAAAAAAAAAAAATTAATAAACATTTATCTGAAACTTGTTTAACATTGAAAACAGGTACAATACATAATATAATAATACCTATTAATAATTCAATGGTTCTAAGAATAAATACAATTAACAAAATACCAATTTAGTCAACAATATATTAAAAGAGAAAAACTACACACATATCAAATGCAATGATGCTATATAAATTATAATTATATTTATGTTATTGATTTTTTAATACATTCTTTGAATCCTATATTTTACAATTATACATTTGGAGTGTGGGACTCGCTTAAAAATTTGATGAAAATTCAAAACACTTTTGAACAGTACAAATGTATTAAAATAGATAAATTGTATTTAATATATAGGTATAAATTATATCTTCACATTCAAAAATAATAAAAAATTCTAAGGTCAAATATTAAGATAATGTACTGAAATTAAAATTAGATCTTAAATTTAATAATATTATATCAAATTATAATTTATAGTACTTAAATACAAGATTAAGACTATTTATTGATTTACTCAGCCTTTTAATTAATTTTATGCCTAAGATAATAATTATAACTTTAATTTTAAAGATTCATTGATAGTAATTTTAATTTTATTCAGTTATCTTTTAACATAAATTATTCTAAATAATAAGAAGCGAGTTTAATTTTATAGTAATAATTTTTATACATCTAAATTTATATACAAATATTATTTACAAGAAATATTATTTTATTATACTTGGGCCAATATTTTTATTAAAAATATAAAATAAAAGGATATTCTGTACAATATTAACAGTAGAATTCATATAAACTGAAAAAAAACTAATTAGGTAATTAAGGAATGTTGTTCCTTTTGTCAATCTTAAATTCACCAATTAATTTAATAGGTACTCCATGAAACTTGAAAATAAGAATAAAATTAACTCAATATACAATAGGAAACAGATGACTAAGTTTAATAACATAAACGATTGTTTAAGATCTCATAACATATTCTATTTCTTAATTTGGGCATATCATCTTGTACAAAATCTAATTTTGCATCACGGGATAGGTATTCTGCATTGACACATGTAAACACACCACAATCATAACCATTTTGTTGTTTTGGACAATCCTCAGCATCCATTATTTTCCATCCACTACAGTCTAATTGTTCATTTTTCTTGTTCTCATGCTCTTGTTTTAGATAGTTAAAAATGGTATTTAAACATTGAGGATTTTTACCTCCTAAACTATCATAATATTTTACGGTTTTTTCAATGAAGTTTACACATATAAGACACCAATGGTTACCCAAGTGAATAGGACTAAACATTTTTTTACATGCAAATATATCTTTTTTTCTTGACCATCGACGAACAGATTGATACCCTTGTGATCTATAAAAAAATTAATATAGATGTAAAAAAAAATTATAAAACTAATTAAATTATACATTTTATGACTTACAATAATTTAGAATAAAAAAATGTATCAAATGTATGTATGTTAGTTGGATCACGATCAACTATCATACTTAAATAATGATTTATAACTTCATCATTTAACCAAGCAGTAGGTGAATAAATAGTTAGTAAATCCAATTTTTTAATATTTTTTCCTTTAACAATGTTCTCATTTAATGATCCAGACATTTTTTGTCCAATCAATTCAGATATTTCTTTAGAAAAACCGGGAAAAACATCATTTTTCTTTTGAGGTTCTATTTTATTCAATTCTTTTTTCATAACCTCTAGTTTTTCTTGAAAAATATCTTCGGGTGATTTTTGTTGAATTACTGTAGCAGAATTTAGAATTGCAGCTGCTTGTTTCTCTTTAAATTTTCTTAGTATACGTTCATAAAATAACTCATGCTTGATAATTCTATTCTTGTGAAGACTTAATTCTGGAATGTCTAAATTTTCTTTACCAGATGTTGGAGATAATTTGGACTGATTTAAAATATTTTCTTTATCAATACTTATTGGTGATCTAGAACTAGAATCTGACAAAGTGTTGGATTCTGGTTTTGGCGTTACATAATGTTTTAAAACCATTGCAAATGATTTATCCTTGTTAGCATTAGTTGTTGTGTCATTAATATTTAATGTTGAAAGTCCACTTTCCATATTAAAACTTATTTTTTTTGTTCCTATAAATAAAAATTGTATTAACTATTTACAAAACTTAAAATACATATACAATAATTTTTTTACCTTTGTTTGAAGCTGTAATTGAAGATCTATCTTCTAATATAGCCTTAGTACTAGCACTTCTAACCATTTCTGTACTGTGACTATTTACAAGTTGTGGATTTGATAAGCTATATGATCGAATAATTTTAATTTTGATATCTTCATCATTATTTTCAGTTAAATCGATTGTCCTAACTGGTGACATAGTTCTTCTTGGATGCTGTCTGCCTTCAATAAGCATAACAGGTGGACTGGCTCTGAGTGGCACAGTAGATGGCCCAGGTTCAGTAATTTCCACCTCTTCGGTTTCAGATAAGGATTCATCACTGATTTCAACAATTTCTACAAGGCTGTCATCCATGCGAATTCGTTTATTATTTAAAGTCTCACATTCTTCATGTTTACGTTTTGTTGGTCCACTAGGTCCAGAAAGTCCAGTCTTTTCAGTGAACCATTTTTTTAAATTTCTCAATGAATTGAAGAAACCCATAACACAAATGTAACATAAAGGTTGATTTGAAATAAATATTGCACGTAGACAGTAAAATTACAACAGCTAAAAAAAAAATAAAGTAAAATTAGTTTAGTTATTTTTATACATTTTAGTATGACTGAAATAGGTTTAAAAGTTTAATCTATAAATATTTTTGTATTAAAATTATCTATTGGAAAAAGTCAATTAAATTATTTTGAAAAATTAAGAAATTTTTATCAACTAAAACATTGATATTGTTTTAAATGATAAAATAAATCATCATTTGAAAATAATACAACTTAACTAATAGATTGGTTAAAATATGTAGATTGATTTTAGATATCAAACTAATTTAAATGGTAGATACAAATAATTGAAAAAACATGGAGTACTAAAAATTGTAATTTTTATAATTATGAATATATTTTAGCTAAAGAAAAAATTGAAATTTGTACTTTCTACAAAATATGCATTAATAAATATGACAAAATGCATTAGTTAAAATATTTTTAGTTTACACATTTACTCTTTATATTAAAAAACTATAAGCTATATACAAATATATTAACCATACTATAATTGTATTACTGCTTAATTTTTTTATCGATTTTAATGATAAATAGCTAGTAAACTATAAATAATAAAATCAAATTATATAATAAATAGTTGTGAATTATTTCACACAAAGCTAAATAGTTTATTTAATATCACACATCAAAATATTTATATTTGTATTGAAATATTAAAAAAAAAGCTTATCTAATACATACATTCAAGTAAGAAGTAAAGATCTAAGTAAAAAATCAAAACAAAATATTGAAAAAGATAATATATTAAAAGAATAAATGACAAAGTACAAGAATAATAAAATTAGTGAACTTGACTTTATAACGATAGTATTATTTAAATATTACCTCGTTTAATATTCACAGTATTATTTATTCATTTAAATATTATTATTATTGACATTATTCATTATTAATTTACTACATTAAATATTTTAAACGGGATTCAATTTTCTATTTTAAATTTTTATGAAGGACTGAATTTATCCATTAGTTTTTTATAGGTGGAACTCCGTTAACCTAAAAATAATAAAATGGAACTCAATTCTCCAAATCCATAAAATATTAGGGAAGAGGGGTTCATTCTTCATTCAATTAGATATTTACATACCTATAAATCTACACAAATAATTATGATATACAAGTGTGTCTCTAAATAGAGATCCAAATCTTATCGAGTACTGATTGATATTGATCTTAATTATTATATAGTCATATTATTTACTAGTCATCGTTTTTGAAATTGATGAATTAAAGACATAAGTACAAATGTAGCAGGCATTCAGTAACATGATTTTTATGGATGAAAAATAAAGAACAAATGCAGCAGAACATTAGCTCTGAATATTTAAAAATATAGATGTGGAACGTGTAAATACTCACTTTAACAGGTCGGCGAATATAGTAATATCTAAAATAAAATGTAATGAATAATGTTGAACAGAAGGTAATAATGTGGATCCGAATCAACAAATTCTTATTAATAAATTTGGCATCACCTCATTTAATTGAAAAATTACTATTGTACAAACATATTGACAATAAAAATTACTCAATTCGTTACCTATTCAAAAGACAAAAATTAACTGTAACAAGTAAAAGACATTAAATTTGCTATCAACAATCGAATTTCGAGGCATAGAGCATTATTTATACTTTATAGTATTCAAGCGTTTCAAGCTATCAAATTAAGATGAGTTAGTCTGTATTTTACATCATTTTGCACAGAAAATAAACATTGATCGTATCAGTGTGGCCAACAATATGCATGTTCCCGTATAATTAGTGATAATGACACCAAATGCTTAATTCCTAAATAAATGATTTAATGATAATAATTTATGATAAGGAATTTTATTTTATTACACATTTTTTTTCATTTTCATCTTTCAATATTTTTCATTTATCCATAATCGTTTTTGATTGCTAAGTGCTTATTTATGTATTTAATTACAGTATTAACATTTAATAGTCACCTCAAAAATTAAAAGTATATAAAATAGAGAAGTTAGAATTATATATAACTTTTCATCAATAAAAATAAGAGTATAATTATTTATAAAAGTTGTATGTAAATATATTTAAATTACAGTATGTCTTTTTCGGTAAAATGTTTGCTTAAAAAACAAAACCGACTACTAACTGTAATGAGTGTACGGCACAGAAGTCAACGTAGAAATTTGGGGAAACCTCCTGGCATTGCAAAAACATTAGAAGAAAAAATGGAAGGTATGTTAATATATTTGTATTATGATTGTGTATGTTAAATTGTTAAAATATTTTATGTGTTTAGAAATGAATTTCAAAGATCCAAAAATTCACTTTAAAGTTGACATTGGATTACCTACACCTCAGAGAGACAAGAAAACTGAAACAGCCAAGAGAATCGAGTTTATTAAAAAAATAAAATGCAATGCTGAACTTGAAAAATTAGCCAGAAACAATGAATGTATGTAAAGGGAAATTTCCCAATTTTCACAAAAAATCTCAGTTTTTCTTTATTTTTTTTTTATTCCCTAAACAAATAAAGGAGTTACTGTAAATTTTTATTTTTAACTTCTTTAAAGTATAAACTAGATATACTTTACAGCTAGAAACCACCACCATTTTTACTGTCCCTAAAGATGATACCATACACAATATAAAGAATACACATCAATACATTTATCGCTCTGTTCAGAATCTAAAATAACTTCATCTTCTATAGTTTTAAAATAGTATATTTTAGATGATGGTATTCTTTAGATAAGCCCCACAAATTAAAAAATTTAATATTAGAAATTCAACTGGTTAAATGCATATATTATTATTAATTGTATTTAGTACCAGTATCGTTGGATGAAATATCTAATGATTGGTTAAAAACAAATGCTCCATTACATACAAAAAAAGTAGCAGAGTACTATGGTATATTTGAACATTTATTTGGAGATGCCTATTTTACGCCTTACATTCAAATGGATATTAGCTATGAATACGACTCAAAAAAAGTACCTGTTTATCGAGGAAATATTATCAAACCTATTGAGGTATTTATAATATTTAAATTTATTTTTAAATATGATGTTATAATTTAGCTGTAATAGGCTCTGGATTGTCCTGAAGTAAATTTTGAAGCCCCCGAAAATACACTATGGACATTAATGCTTACAAATCCAGATGGACATTTACATAAAGAAAATTCTGAATACATTCATTGGCTGGTGTATGTATTTTACCTAAGTTCTGTTATAATTTAAAATATTATTTATACTTAAAATATTTAAATATAATTTTGTTTAGAGGAAATATACCTGGCGGAGATGTTAATAAAGGCGAAACTGTGTTTAATTATTTACAACCATTTCCTGCAAAAGGTACAGGATACCAAAGAATGATTTTTGTTCTTTACAAACAATCTTCAGAAATAAATTTTTCTTCAATCAAATCAGTTAGTGAAAAGTAAGTTTTTAAATAATAAACAACTATACTAAGTTAGTATTAAATTTGTAGACAAAAGAATTACTTTCAGTGTCATTCCACCTCATTAAAACGTCTATTAATATAATATATGTGTTTTGTATTTGTTTAACTATAGTATAATATACTCTGTTCCATTTATAATGTACAATAATTTGTAATACTATGAATAATAATATTCATCAAAAAATATAAATACATATAATTTATTTTTAGAATAGATTTGGCTAAAAGAACATTTAGCACTTTTGATTTTTATCGATCTTATGAAGATATTATGACACCAGCCGGATTAGCATTTTATCAAACCGATTGGGACAATTCATTGACAAAGTTTTATCATGATCAATTATCAATGCAAGAACCAGTTTATGAATATGATTTTCCATCTCCATATATTAAACCGCAAAAGTGGTTCCCTCTTAAAGAACCATTTAATTTGTAAGTTTATAATAATTTATTAGTTTTAAATATTTTAATATAATTAAATTATAGATACATGGATAAATATCGTGATGAAAAACAAATAGCTAAAGAATTTTTACTAAGAAAACTAAGAAAAACACATCCATTCCAAAAACCTGAACCACCTCTTAAGTATCCAAATGCAGTACCATTTAAGAAAACTACTCCATCTTGGTTGAAATTAGAGATGAAGAAAGAACGTTTAAGATGGGGACGTGTGAATGATTACTAAATTTTCAATAAATTAATGATTTACTTAGTTTAAATGTGTACATATTTGATCATGATAAGAAAAATAATTTTGAATATCATTTTTGAATAAATACTTTTGTTTATTAACAAAATTGTGTTTTATTTTCTCTCAGCTTAGATTATCACTATTTACTTTCAATTTTGTTTAAAAAAATTATCAGCATTATGTTTATTTTTTTCTTTCTAACCACTCTCAAATACATTTACGAGTCATTTTTTTTTTTTTGAAGTATACATATCAATTAGACTAAATACTGACTAAAATTATTTAATATCCATTTGAATCATCAACTTTTAAATTAAATATTAAAAACATATAAAACTGATATGTAAATCTTCAAAAATATAATCTTGTGTTATTTCTGTATAGGTGCTTTCACTCATATCATACAAAACTATATCACATGAATCTGTTGTTTATAGGTCCAAGATATAAAAGAAATATTGTACTTACATTCTTTTAATAAGATTATAAATGCTGATTTTCTGTCTTACTATTGAATATGTAAAATAAAAATTTATTAATATTATTTTTCCGACACGTTCATATGACTAAAAAAATATGTATTATTTTTGTCATGATTGGTTAAAATTTAGTAAGAGATTTTAGTATACTATTGATTTAACAGATGAATTGAAATCAGTTCACTTTTTTTTTATTATTAATATTACAAATGTAAATTGAATAACTTATACATACATCAAATAAGTTATTAAATACAAATATTTATTTATGAATTCAACTTAATTGTAATTTTAAAATCTACCTTAAATATACATATACATGTTGCAAAAATAAAAAAGCAATATTTATTAACTATTTATGACATAATACTATATTAGTATGAATGTAATTTATAAAAAATTTTAAATTTAACAAATGCGACTTAGAGAATAATCAGAAGAATTAGTTACAACAAGGTGTGAAATGTAGTATATCACTCATGTAGTCATAATTAAAATACATAGAAATAAAACCTTAATAGTAAAAAAATATATTTTATAATTAAAATGGATATAAATTACCAACTATTAAATGTTAGTGGGAAGTTAAAGGTAAGGGAATCCCTGTCTCTTAAATCAATAATCATTTTATGAACAATTATTTTCAACTGTATTTGCATTAATAAACATCATTTTATCTACTAGTTCTTGATTTATTTGTGATCTTTTAATATAATATAAAGTTTGCAACTCTAATGGTAATTTACTAGATGACCCACTAAGAGCATACACAAAGTGTTTTCTTGCAAGTCTTATTAGATTTTGACATTTTGATGACATTCGTGACCACCACATAAGTGGACACTCTTCAAGACAAGGAGTTCGCTCAGATTCATACTGAGCAACTTCTAAATTAAGTCTATCTTCTAGTGACATATTATGTTTACTAATAGTAGGAGAACTTTTTACATTAGCAACACTTCCAAGTAAAAATCCAATACCTAAATAATCATATTTTAAATTAATTGCAAATATATTTGCATTTGATGTTTTTTAATTTTTTATAATTAAACATTTATATACTAATATTGAAACACTAACCTGAAATTCTAGGTTTTTTAGGCACATCTGTGTCAACTTCTGACACATTTGATTTAGTATCATAAGGCACAGAACCTTCAGTTTCAACCATTTTGACTAATTCCTGTTTTATTGTTGGAAGATGTTCTTCGCCTTCAGTCATAGGAAAATCTTTGAATCTTGGGTCTAATAATGTTGCTATGTGTAAAAATGTTTGAACGTCAATATTATTATACCTAAAAATTGATATGAATAATGAGTAAATTCTAAATTGTTGATGTATCACATTCTTACTTCCAGTGAAGTTCATTGGCAAATGTGTTCTTTAAACTGGCAGCAAGATTTGAATCACTGGGTTTTACTTTTAAATGATAGCTAGTTAACTGATTAATTAAAGGTTTCAATAATGATATCAATGGTATTTTTTCTTCACTGAGAGTAGTTACAGTAACTTTTAGAGGCTCAAGAGTTGTAACAACGTCTTCAATAACAGACCAATCTTTATCAGTTAACATCTCATGTGGAAAAAATCCAATATCCAATGTGTTGCATAAAGATTTTATAGTATCTTTCCGTTGAACAAAACGTTCTAAATAATGATAAGTCGTTGTCCAAATTTGTGGGTATTCTCTACTAAAAAATGAATTAAAAACTTGAACAACATTATCTTCAACTGTAATAGATGTTAAGGCATTATGGTGATGTAGTTTAGCAGAAACTGTTCTACATTTTGTTAAAACATTTAATACTTCTTCAGTTTCAAAACAACTTTTTGTACATAAATTCTAAAAAAAAATATATAATAATTAACTTAGCAAAAAATTTAAATATTTTTAATTTAAATTTTAAATTTTACACACTTGTAATTCATAAATTAGACAAGGTATTAGAATGAAACCTTGAGTTCTTAATGCTGCATCTAAATTATTATTTGTAAATGCTTTGATGACAGTTTTAACTTGATCAATATTAATGTTCCAATTCATAAACAATGAACCCAAGATTCCACACCATTCATTAGCAGTTCTGTTAGGATTACATAAAATAGTGGCTAGTTGTTTAATACAGAGACCATCTTTGTCCAACTGTATATTTCAAAAAAAAAAAAAAAACAAATAGATTATTTTTAATATATAAGCTTTCATAAATAAAATTACCTGTTGGAAAAATACACTTATTGTAATATAAACATTTAAGCTAGAACATTTCCATTCTTCTATACCTAAAGCAAATGTGCTACAACTGTTTGCAATACTATTAAGAACAGCAGACCTGGTAGTTTCATAAATTCTTGGTATTATGAACTGTTCTAATTTATATTTTCCTGGAATTTCACATGGCGACCTTAGTGTAGCAATAAGACGTTGAAAACCTTTACCTTCTACAATATCTGGTAAATGAAGATCAGTTATTACAAATTCAGTAATTGCATCTGATACAAGTTTATTGATCACATCATTTGACTGAAAAACAAAGAATTTATTTTATATAATTAAGTAGATAGTGAAAATATAATTTATAACAAAATAGAATTTCATTGTAAAATCATTAAATTTATATTAAAGGAAGATATAACCTAATAATAATTAAAAATACTCACTGAATTATCAATATCTTGAAAAATAACCGACATCTGTGGAGTTTGTTCTTGGATATTAGAAACGTTTTCACTAACAAACTGTTCATTAATTTCTCCTTGTATATATACATCCTGTTGTTTTATTCTGCTGTTTGACCTATTTACATCTACTTGGCCTTCAGATGTAGTTAATAACATAAGTTCATTTTTGCCGTGCCTTTTTTTTGGACTTCCATCTTTAGAGGACCCCATTTCCAATACCATTAGTTCAGTCTTATGTCTGCTTTGTAAGTGTACTCTCAAATTAGTAGTATTACTTTTATAGGCAAACTGTTTTTTACAAAGTATGCATATAATTCGATCTTGAGTAAGTATGCTACCAGTGTCTGACGCTGGAAACCCAAAATACTTCCAATAAGGACTATGCATACGCTTTGGTACAACTAACTTTTGATAACTGACTGTTTCAATGTTAGAACGGTCTGGCTGTATTTTAGTGTAAGGACGTTTGCTTTTTTTTTTTTTTGCCATCTGAAACATTAAGCAACATGTTTAACGACTACAAGAAATTATTTAATAAATTGTTATTTATTATAATATAATTTCTATATATTTTTTTTTTTTTGTTATTGAATAATACAATTTCTACGAATTTCAAATAAATTCATAGCTTACTGTTTGGTGTCCCAGAAGGTGTTTGTGATGTCGATTGCAAAAATGGGTTTAATTCAATTGATATTTTATTGCCTCGATTCATAATGTATTTATACTTGAAATTTGCCTCCAAAATTCGGATATTTCACAAAATGTTGACTATCGATAATGCGATAATTATATTGCTTTTATCGAAATCAATTTTCGGATAGGACAACAAATGAAGAAATAAACTCTATACAGAAAATCAAAACCTAAGTAAAAAAACATCGATCGATGTTCCAAGTTTGTTAGTGAGATATCGTTTCCATACCCTTTTAACGAATGGTACTCCAGTGTAGCCATATGTTAATTATAAATACTATCCAGTGGTAAATGGCAATTTATTTACTGTGTGGAAGTTATGATAAAAAGTTATCTACCGGACTAGTCCGTTACATACACAGATATAGGTATAACATTTTTTAAATGTATATTTCATTCGCGCCTCACGGTCGTATTATATTTATGTAACATTTTTTGGATTTATGGTTACACGTATATAATGTTGGCCCATTCTTCCGTTGAGATAGATTATATATCTAATGAGAATAATCAGATTATAAAATATAAATTATAATACATACCTACCTAAAAGGCTGTCAAGTGTTTATGTTGCTTGTGTGTTAATCTATAAGGCACAAGAGTACGATTACATAATTTTTCAAATACCCACTCATTATCAATATTACAATTTAAAGAGCATAATTCTAATTTAGCAACCAAGCGAATTAAAATTTTTTTTTTTACTAAAAATTAATTGTGTATTATATAAGGATGTAAAAAAAAAGGACGAACTTCATATAAAAGTTTTCATCAAAAACTTCAAAAAATACTGTTTTTCAAAAACATATTTTTTTTTTCTTTAAATAATATTTAAAACTTAAGATTAATTTTTTTAGATTGTTTGGTTTTTAATGATTGCACAAAAAACGCTAAAAATTAATGTATATATATGATTTATTTTTATTATACGAGTAATATTTAATTTTTGGTAGAAAATAGAATAGAAATAGTAGACACAGACATAAAAAGTTAATATACATTGAAATTATTGGTTCACCAAAAACTAAAATAATTTAAGTAATTTTTGGTTTTATCAATTGATTAAGTATTAAAAATCACACAATTTAAAAAAATGAACTAAGTATTATTAAAAAAAAAAAAACGGGCGGCTTTATGTTTGTATTATTACTATTTATTTTTGACTATTGGTAATTTTTTTCCTTATAAATATGCGTATGTATGATGAAAATATAAATGAGTCGTACAAATTTTACAAATCTTTCAATAATCGAACGTGTAAAGCTTGCGTTCACACCTATAGCAAACGCCTGTGGAAACATAGATGGGTACCTAATACGTTTGCCAATGTTTGTTCAACAATATTTTAAAATAACAAACATTGTAGGTATTTGTTTGCTTAACTATATGTTTACCAGTTAAGATTATGGCGTCTTTATAATAAGTAGCGTGTGTAGGAGAACTGCATTTATAATTTCTCATAATCATTACAAAAATGAAAAGAAGCATAGAAAATAAGACATTAGCTACCAGCTAACAAATGTTAACATATTATTTTAAACATGTAAAATTAAAAATACGTAGGTACCTATTTCGACCGAATTCTCGCAGACTGATTTATTTATCGACTTTCATAATTCTATCTAAGTGTATATAAATAATAGTTGAGTACTTAATATAAGCAACTGGTATTATTTTCGGTTGTGTTTAAAATTAGAAGTTTTTAGAGAAGATTTTAGCTTGTTTTCAAATAATTTCTGGATCTAATATTAACATAATATACTGGTGTACGAGCGCACCAATTAACCGCGAGCATTTAGATATAGCCATAGGTAGTAGGTACGGGTTTTCTACACATGGTTCACTATGTTTACATGGCATGTGCGAATTATTAATTTAATTTAAAAAAATATTAACTTCTATTTTTAGTTATTAATTTAAGATAATACCAGTGGCGGTTATGATTAAATTCTAAAAGGGACGATTTAAAATATCTACCTCATCAACCAAGTGTATACCTCAGATTAAAAAAAAACAATACAAATTAAATAAACAGTTATTTGTATGAAAATGAAATAGTTATGTTTCTCAAAAAATGTATGTCGTAATATTCGAATAATAAGCCAATAATTTTGTTTGGGAACACGTCTATACCAACCAAATGTTCGACAAACATTTAACTAAATGTTTGTAAAATATTTTCATTAGTTGATAATAACAAATTTTTTAAAAACCTATTCTTATTTTTTAGTTTATTATAATAATTATTGTATTATGTAGAAGTCAATCGTGCATCTTATACAGCAGGGGTTCCCAACCTTTTTATCATCGAGTACCATCAGACACTTTTATAATCAATACGCGTACCACCTCAATTTTAAAACTAAATTAGGAGTCAAATTTTTTTAGCGTATATTTTTATTATTCATTCAATTCTTTACATTTTTATTATTTGATATTTATGAAAGTAAAAAAATCATAATTTTTAGTTAAATCTAAATATTTAAATTTTAAATTACAATTTTCAAATTAATAAAAAAAAATAATAAATATAAATAATAATAAAATTAAATAAATAAAATTAATGTGATATTTGTTGTTGTTTATTTTTCACAAGGTCATCAATATACCATATTATATAAAATATAATATAAATAACACAAACGTTAAAACACTTAAAACTATAAGAATGCGCTTTATCGATAAGAATAGAGTATCTAAAATTCTAAATTGCTACGATTACAAACCCCATGTTATCGACATTAAATTTATTTTGATAAAATAATAATTTTATAAAATTAGCTAATATCAAATAAACTAAACTAAATAATATTGAATGCAAATAGTAATAAAAAAATTTCTTCGCGTACCACCTATGAGCCTTCCGCGTACCACTAGTGGTACGCGTACCACGGGTTGGGAACCTCTGTTATACAGCCATACTATGGATTATTATTTTAAACAATAAAAATATATATTTATTGTTTTCATAATTGCATTTCAGTATAAAATAATTACAAAAACGTATTTATTAATTTTTAAATATAATTTGTCTGCAGTATAGTATATTTATTATATATCCATTTCTATCATTTTTAAGGCCGATAATCTGTCAGCATTAGTTTAAGTCATTGCCTGACTGTTCTGACTAGAAGTTTTGCTAATAGACTATAGTTAAGTTGTGGCTTTTGTCGCCGATTGTACTTACATGTACAGCTTGCTCAGTTCTCCGCCACACCTCTCCCAGGAAGTGATAATGTCGGAGGATTGAACAAGTGACGCTGTTTCTCCCAGTTTGGTTTGAAAAGAGCGACGGCGGTCCGCTGCAATGCTTGTACTTTGTACTTGCGATTGCTAAGAAACGCAACAAATATCTTACTTCAAGTGCGCATTTAAAAACCAAAAGGAAAGTATTAAGATTTTATTTTATATTTTTATTTCTAAAATCAAAACTGTCATTTAACAACAAATCATTGATATAAATCAACGCTAAAACTTATTTGGGCTTACATAATCAAATATGAGAATATAGAAGTATTTCCAAAAATTAACCATTTAGGCCTTCAATTAATTTCCATTCGACATTGGGGAAATATCTGCGCCATGGTACGTCCCAAATATTTCACTTCACAAAAACTTTGAATAACTCTATGGAGTTCAGAATTGCTTCAACAGTTTAATTCAACTTGATCGTAATAGGCGACTAAAAAGGTTAGGAGAACTCAGCCTTTATAAACGAGGGGGTGACTGTTATGGTCACCACAAGTGAAGCAACCGCTTAAGGTTTGAATATATTTCTTTCTTTTGATAATATTAAAAATACATGATGTCGTTTCAAACCAAAGTGGTAAAAAATAAAAAAACATATATTTTTTATGACTAACAGTTTTATCTAAAACAAATTAACAAAAACGTTAGTTGATTTCTATGATATCCTATCATTTCTACAGAAAATTAATGACATTTTTTTTGTTCAAAAATCCAGTATTTTCCAACGATGGTGCTGAAAGTAACGTTATCCTGACACCAGTTGTACCATAGTGAGAAAATTGGTTTTTCTTCCGGGAATAATTAGATAAAAATTAGTAAAATTAATAGTACAATCAAAGAAATTTTTTTTGAAATCCATTGTTTATTTTTTAAGTTGTGATGCTGGGATAATATTAATTTGGTATCCCAGCAGAGAAATTGACCTTTTACCGACAAATATTTTGAAATTGTAGTGCCAGTATAACCCATCAACTTAAAATTATTAGTAAAAACAATTTAGACAATTTAGTGTATAGCTATTTAAATTTATAATAATAGAATGTAATACAACTTATGAAATTAGATGATCAAAAAGAAGTGTGATTAATTTTGATTATGAGATCTTAAATGTACTCGTACGATAACTAGGGTTAGAATATTTATGATTTTGCATTATTTTAGTTGTCCAATAGCTTCCATTTTTATATGGAAATGTGTATCATGGTATCTATATTCAAAATATCAAAATTTTATTTTGAATATTAATCCATATTTTACCATTTTTTATTTATAAATGCATAATTTGTGTTTTTCTCTGTTTTTAAGCACATAGTTGATGGGTTTCAATGCAAAATGCTGAAAAATACCGAAATATTATATTTCATTAACTAAATCTAATAGATTCAAAAATATATTAACACAAAATAAACGAAGATTTACAACGAAACATTAAAAACAAACAATAATTATTCAATGCAACTCTTTTTAAAATGTATTTTTATTTATATTTAATTTAATTTTATGTAGTAAATAAGAAAATTCAAAAATTAATAGACAATAATGACCACGTATAAATAGTACTGACCCATTTGCTTATATTCTATTAATAATTAAATTTGTTTTTATATATTTATTGCATTTTTTTTATCCACAATTCTTCATTTTAGAATGCATATTTTTCAAATTGTTCATGCGTAATTAACTGTTTTTTATTGCATAAACATTCTAACCTTAGTTATAACTTATAATAATATAATCTATACACTGGCACTAGGGCTATAATAATTGCATGACACTCATTTAAGAGTACAAATAATATTTTAGTAAATTGCTTTATTCTAGTAGGAATAATAGTGTTGGCTAAGCGTTTGTAAAAGTTTTGTAGTTTTATCTGGGATTTTTATTTTGGTAAAAAAATGACTTAGTTGCATTTTTTCTTTTATCAGTTCATTTTATTACCAACTAAAGTAAAATACTGTAAACATGAATGTATTACATTCAATTTTATGCAAATGGCATTTAAAAAAATATAAAATCTATAAACACAGCATACCTACATCTTTAATTATTATTTAAAATTAAATACATTTAATAAAAATTTTTCACGTACTCTTGTAAAATCTTGTTTTCAGATATGATTTTTTATTGAGTACTTGGGAAAAATAGACATCTGAGTGATGAGTTTACCCATTAGGTGCATACATTTTAATACTAATAACTTGTAAGTACATTTAATAAACACAACATATAAATTAAACTTTATATACACATACTTACTTTTTTTTTTGCACATAATAAATTATTTTTAATAATATTAATGTTTTAAAAAAAATTTATAAATACATTTGACTGTTTGATATTTAATACAAGCTCATAAAATTTTACAGGAAGAACATTGAAATTTTAATTTAATTGTACCAAGCACAATATGGATTATAAAAATTAACAAATAGTTCATGTTAGAATTGTCTAGTTATTTATCAAATAGTATTATTTAGGTAGAACATTTTCACTACTAATTAATAACCACACCGTAAAGTAGTTAAATATTGTTTAACTGTTTAGTATATTATGGTGGAACTTTAATAAGGATACATTGGGTGTATCAGTACCATAAGTCTTATAAATTACATATTCTTAAAACTCATTTTATATTAATGTTATATGGTTATGACATAGGCATAAACCCAACATAATATATTATGATTTAAAAAATGTAAAATATTATGTTTTATTCAACATGAAATGAGTGATGATGTTTAATTCTTAATGTAATATAAGCAATTTATTTTAGAATAAAATTGGTATATTGGTATCACATAGTTGACCCTACCACTTACTCTCAATTGTATGTTGACAAATATTAATAATAACAATTGTAAATTATTGTTAAATAAATAACAGTCTAACTTATTATATTGTTAAAAAAATATGTACAATAGGAAAAGTTTGATAAATTAATGCACCTAGTACATAATGAAGTGTACAAAAGGAAATAATAATACATAGAACTTAGGTAAATATACATAATTATTATCATTCTGAACATGATTTATAGATAAAACTCAGAACATTATTTATTTTTAGAACTACTCTTTGGATTTGTTTGGTTCACAAATTATGTAAGAAATAAGCAGATCTTGTGCGTATAAAAAGTAGTGTATAGATAGAAAAACATAAATTAAGTTTTAATAATAAGACTACTCATTTTTATTTAAAAAAATGATGAGAAATGGGTATATTTAAATAATATGTGGTTATAATTATTATAAAATAATTAAAAACTTATTTAAGATAATTTTTTCAAAATATTAAACTTGGGTAAATTTACGGTGTTTTTTGTTAAATTAATAAAGTAATTAATAAAACAATAAGTAATTTATATCTATACACTCTTTTTTCGGTTACATAATTACTTTCTAAATTAATTAAAATAAATAATGTGACAATATACTAGCTCTGAAAGACGTTCATTATTTATTTTATATAATTTCAATGAAGGTTAATATTAGTGATGAAAAAGTAACATACTTAGTTAGAAACTAATCCTCAGTGTAGTGTCTGCAAATGTTTTATTTTATACGTTGATAAAAATATCTGAACAAAAATTTACCTCCTCCACATTACTAGATTTGAAAATAATAAATTTAAAATTTAAACAACTCAAATAATGTGTTTGATATAATACTTTGTCTTCAGCTGAACTAAAAAAATAACAGATATTTTTTAAATTTAACAAACTTATTAATTTAATAAATGCAATTGCTTCATTATAAGTTTTGACAGTACACTGCCTATAACTTGTTTTTAACTAATTAAGTCAGACTTTATAGTTATAAATAAAATACCTTTTCTCTTATTACTATCAAATTGATTGATTTTGTATAAATAATATCAGTGTCTATTGTACTAAAATTGTAGACTTATTAATCATAATATATTAGGTATTGTATAAACAAAAAGAATGTACCTTTACATTGCAAAAATATACAAATAACTCTGATGAACGTCAAAAGGCCAAAATAAAAATGTAATACTTAATAAAAAATACTTTAAATATAAACTGGGTCTTAATAATAGTTTTACATAAAATAAGTATAATAGTTATCTTATTACTGTAAACAGAGAACAATATATTTAATTATTTTCAAAGTTTTTTACTAATAATTTTTTATTTAAGAATTGGAGGCAACAAATTTATATTAATTTTCATTGTCAACATCTATCAGTCTTAAGTTCTAGATTAATTATTACAAAATTGCTTATCTTCTTCTTTTTTTTTTTTTTTTTTTTTTTACATAGAATTAATAATAATAACGCTGAGATCTGATAGAAAACTGCATTAGTAGTTGGGTCCTAAAATCTAAAATAGGGAGTGGTTAGTAACAAATTTTATATTGAAAAAAAATATATAATATATAATTAAAATGCAATTTTTTTTTATACCACAAATAATTAAAGCAAATTTTTACAAATGGAATATAATTGACCAAGAAAAAAAAAAGTTTTTGAGGTTCATTTAAATTAAACCTGTTAAATAAAATTACCAAAAATAAATAAATAATAAATACAACTTTTAACTAAAATAACTTGCATATTGTTAAACCTTAAATATGTATGTTTCTAAGCAACATAGACTTTAATTCACCAATTAAATAAATTAAAAATAATACTTAGTCAGAAGAAAATAAATTTAAATATAGAAAATTATGGCATAATTAATAACTATATTACAAAAATATTATATAAGAAACTTTATGCAATACTTTACAATAAACTAACTATGTTGTTTCATGTTTTGAAATTAATCTTAACGAAACAAATAATTTAAATATTTTTTTTTTTTACTATTAAACAAAAAAATAATACAATGTATTTAATTGAATTCAAAATGTTGAGGTAGATAATAAAATATTATAGAATACAAGCCTGAAATATGAAGAATCAAACATCACTTCCATTATAATTATCCCAGGTTAAAATTACAAATATAAAATAGAACACAAACCCAAATGTGTCTTAAAAAAATATAACTTTGTTTTGAAGATTTTTTTCTTATGACATTTCATAATAGTTGCAACATTAAAACAGAAATTAAACATATTATTATTTTTTAAGTAAGTTAACCTCTTTCTTTGGGAAATTACTAGGAAATGTAATTTTTAGGATTTAATTAAAAATTATTAATTTAGTAAATGAAAAAGTATTTTATATCAATAAATTCTTAAATTTAACTTTTTTATTTATCAAAACAAAATTTACTTTTCACATAATGCTTATATTTTTAATTTCTCTTTTCTTTATAACAAATATTTGAATATCAAACAAATTTTTATGGATATGAAGCATCATAAGTAAAATACTAGGATTACAAAAAAAATTTGGCATTGAATTATTCTAATTTTTTTGTTTTGTTTATGTATTATATGTATCCTTAGATACATGATATATCACCAATAATCAGTGATATAGGTGTTTTATTTATCCTAAGATTTATATGATATATTTATTTTAAGACAGTACTAGAGGGTGTAGTATTTTATGTAAGAAAAAAATTAGACTATATTAGTACTTAATAAGTACCTGTATTTAAATTAATATAAAAAAATCTGACAGCTATGATTAAAAAAAAAATAACTTCAGAATGATAAATAAGAATACCAAATACCTAACAATTGGAACATAGTTTTGGTCTTCAAGACCCAGAAACAAAATTATAAAAAGTTTGTAAAAAATCAACATAACAAAAAAAGAAAATGTTTGTGGTTACTCTTGGTAAAGTTGACAACTATTTAAATAACAAAAACACTTGCCATAATATATTTAAGTCATCCTTCCTTCATCTCCTTCACCCATAAACGAATTTTCAGATTTTAATTTTTCTAAAGTTTTAATTTGTTGCTGTAAAAATAACACCCTGAAAACCAAATTGAATAATTTATAACAAAAACCAATTTAAATGCAGGTTTTTAATAAAATTATGAAATTTACTTGTGTTCTAATAAAGATGCTTGAACTTCAGTCAAACGAACAATAGATCTTGCATATTTAAGTTCTGCAGATACACGTGAACAGTGTACACTTCCTAATATGTGGGCTTCTTCATTTAATTTTTGCGCCTAAAATGAAATACTCAGCTATTAAAACATTGAATTTGTTTTGAAATTTAATGAATGCATTTATTTATATATTACCTGTTTTGCTAAAATATCAGCTGGCCAAGTTTTAACGTGTGATGTTAAATCATCCCGTACTAAATTAGACATAACTGGAGATGTTGTTGTTCCAAGTTGTCTGTAACTCATTACATTGTTGACTTGGGCAACTTGTTCTGCATGGCTTGTTACAGGACTCCCTAAAATTATTATTATTAAAAATTAAATTTAAATTTAAAACAATACATATTTTTTAAATTTTGTTAAAATAATATTTTATTAACATTGTTTATAAAATTGTTAAAAATTTAAATAACCTGTTTTCTAAATGATTAAATAAAACATGATATTGATTTGTCTTAGTCAACAAATATAAATAAGTAAAAGTAAATAATAGGTAATATATATTAAAATATCATCTTTCTTATTAACCATTACTCATTTTATTAAGCCTCCCTCGTCTATCAAACCATCCATTTATTATTTCACCGAGGGTAATTTCTCCTTAACCTATTGCTTGGTGTTTTTTTCCCCATAAATTTAATCTTACTAGTTTAGTATGGGTAATCTATTTTTTAGTGAATTTAAAAAATTTCTTTTTTGATTTTTGATGAAGAGTTTCATAATATATACTTTACATTGAATGCCTATTATTTGAAAACTGTTTAGCACGTTCAATTACACTATAGTCAGCTTCACAAACACTAGCGGCTGATCATCATGTTCTAAGCTAAATATTTGTTGTATAATTAACAAATAACAATACAATTTACAACTGTCGCTACCGTTCGGACGCAACAGATGGTCACAATAGAATGAAAACCAATTTATATATTTCAGGGTACGGCGACAGTCAGTCCTCAGTTTTTGTAAAGCAGACTATAGCAACTCATCTACATAATATATAGCATGGCACAATTTTTGCTAAACGTTTTAACTTTTCTGTAAAGGTCAACTTTAAGCAACCCATCATAATATTAAAAGTAAAACACATTTAGCACATTATCTTTTTGTAAAGGGTGAATAACCTATCCCATACCGGGCATACAAATTAAGTCACACCCAAAAACATAGATTTAATGCAATATTTTTAATTGTTTTGAGATGAATTCTCAATTTTGAAATAACTAGTTTGCACACTTTCTTTCTGGTGCATACTTTTCATTTTAAGGTAACAGTGTTCATTGAAGGCTAGTGATCTATCTAGATGTTATAATTTTAAACAGACTTAATATTTTTTATAGATTGTTTTTTTAAATTAATAATTATATAACTTTATTATAGTTTAAATTAAGTGTTTATTAGCAGGAGTGATTTTAAAATAATTTTTAACTTTTGTTAAAAAGGATTGGAACTAGAACAGTTCTTTACGTCAGAATAAGACATTATTCAAATAAAATACTATTTAGATGATTTAAAAATATTATTTGAAATTTTCATTTATTCTTTTATTATTTTTCTAGTAGCAAATAATTTTCTATGATAGTAGTTCATCACCTATGTAAATCCTATATCAATAGACAATAGTAAGGATGCTGATATTTTCCTATAAAATTTAATGACTAACCATATTGTATCCTAAATCTATTAAATTTTTAAGTAGAAATTTTAAATTCATATTATATATAATGTTATTTAAGTATAATTAAATGCAACATTAAGTACTGCTATATTATTGTACATATTGTAACTGGATCATTGTATAAAAAAATCTTTAAGAGCTACTCAAGTGGTGTCAGCACAGATGTAGTCAATATCTTTTTGGTGGCACTTGCAGTCACTTATTTCTATATACCCATGAGCTGATTTTAATAAACTGATATCTATGTTAATATTAATTAAGTTAGAACAATAAATTAAATAAACAAATTAATAGACCTCGACCAATTTTTTTAGTTTAGTACAAATATTTTAAATTAGAACCTAAGTATAGAGACTTATTCATCAATTGGAATTTTATTGAATATAAATGAAAAAAAATGTAAATGAAACTTGACCACAGAATAGACAAAATATTAAAATAGTAAGAGGATGACTTGCTTAAATTTTTTTTTATAATTATTCCACAAAAATTTTTATTAAAAATATCAATAAGTAAATATTAAATAATATTTACTGCTAATCCTAAGCTATATATAATTGTAAAAGAAAGTTTTCTTTTATGACAGTCTATTAAAAATATTATTTAAAATTACTTTAAACATGAATATCAGTATTGTCAGACTAGTTTATAGATATAAAATAGATGTAAAACTACGAGACCAAAAACGCTGATGAAGAAATTTAAAAAAATGGCCTCTCACTAGGTTGTGTCTTAGCACCAATGCTGTTAATGTATATGTTATGTACAAAGTCCGGAATTGTACATTTTGCAATTTGTACAGTGATTTTTGTACACATTGCGAAGTGTAAAATGTTGCTGTAAAAAGTAACTAGATTGTACAAGTTGCGTTATATAATTCGTGATGTGTACAATAATCACTGTACAAATTCCAAAGTGTACAATTGTTGTACATACCACAAAGTTGAAAAACATGTTTTAAAAATTACAATATAATAACTGTTATGTTTTAAAAGTGTTTTCTTAATAAATATTACATATTATTACTTATTAGAATACCATATAAAAATAGATATATCTGGACACCTGGTCTTTACATGTTAATATACTACTATCACTGAACAAATCAAAATTTAAAAATATATTATTAAAATAGAATTTTTCATATAAAAAAAATATTATTATAAAACTACATATTATTGTACACGTTATGAAATAAAATAAAATACGTGAATCTGTAATAAGATTATTTATATCATCTGTTATAGTCTTATGAGTTGTTTCCCACGCTATGTGGATTCTAACATACTAATAAACATATAATACAATAAAAATGATAAATTTTATCTAATCGACTTTACGATACTGTTGTTCAGAAATATAATTTAAACAGATTTTAGTACGGACTAGTGCATTGTATGCGAAACTGCTCCAATATTTTATTTTATATTAGTGTAATTATAGTATTATACAATCAGGCAAAATGAGTGAAAATGATAAAAATCTTAATTTTAAAAATTTGACAAAAAAAATATTAATTTAAGTGTAAATTCAATGGCCATAGCTAATGAAGAAAATTACAAAAAAATAATAAATGAAATATTTGAAGCTAAAAATAAGATTTCATTAGACTACAGACGTTTGAATCGCTATGATATTATAAAAGTAGGTGAAGTTAATAAATTATTATTTCCATTACATAAATCAAAAAATAATGAAGTTAAATATTATTTACATTACGACAAAATATATGATGTTCTTGAAAAGTCACATAAAGAAACAGGGTATGGTAGACTTCATAAAATGATTTATCATTTAAAAAATGGTTATGTTAATATATCACGTCCTGTTATTCAATTATACTTAAACAATAGTGTAACGTGTTTAAAAAAAAGAGTAGTTGTTAAACCTATGGTATTTAATGAAGTCAATGCACGTGGACAGGTTGATTTGATTGATATGCAGTCATGTCATGAGTACAAATTTATATTAAATTACCAGGATCATTTATCAAAATTTGTAATTTTGCGTGCTCTTAAAACAAAAACTGCAGCTGAAGTAACATATCATTTAATTGATATATTTTTTACTTTTGGAGCACCTTCAATTTTTCAGTCAAATAATGGCCGTGAATTCGTTAATTGTATAATTGATGAATTAAAAAATATGTGGCCATAACTTAAGATTGTACATGGGAAACAACGCCACCCTCAGTCAAGGAAATGTGCGAGATATTTTAAGGGCATGGATGTTGGACAATAAATCCAATAAATGGAGTGAAGGTCTTCAATTTTGACAGTTTCAAAAAAATAGCAGCTATCATTCTGGTATTAAACTCAACATTTGAGGTATTATTCGGCAGAAAAGCACAACTTAGCCTCACTTCTAGTGCACTACCTGAGAATATACTAAAAACATTAAATTCTGAGAATGATTTAGAGCAAGCAATTTCTTCATTAGAGCTAATTAATTATGAATTAAACAAAAGAGAAGTGAAGATAATATTTTGGAACAGACTTTAACTGAAGTGAAGATAATATTTTAGAGCAGGCCTCAACTGCAAATGAATTAGTATTAGAAAAAATTACAATTATGCAAGGTAAAATAAATAAAAATAAAAAGCTAACTGTAAGTTCAGTACATCACCAAGCAAAACAAATGAAAACTGATAGTATCTTGAAGTATCCAGTCGTTTCAATCGGTATAAATGTAACATTGCTTGTACCAGATGTTGATAGAAGTAAAGGAGATTTGAGAAATATCATAGGTAAAATATTATTTTATATTTATAAAAAATAATCATATTAGTAAGTGGTGTACTTTCATTGTATTAAGTGTTATAATGGAAATAACGACGGACGACTTGTATAAAATCAGTGCTAAAAATGGCATTAATGCACAACTATTCAGTCGTAACCAATTTTCATCTTGCGATGGGGTAAATATATTAAATATAAATGATATACCTACTGATAAAATTTCTCTAAGAGTGGCAAATATGAAAGAATCAATGTTTGAAGGTAAGGTTTTTTTGAAATGTTTTTGTACACGGAAATGCTATAATAATAAATGTATATGTAAATAAAAAAAAAATGTATTATGCAACTCACAGTGTCATAACTCACTTGATTGTAAAAATAAATAATGATAAATTATGTATAATTATATTTGATTTTAGTAATATGTAGTTTTATAATAATTTTTTTTTTTTATTTGAAAAATTCTAATTTTTATAATATATTTTTAAATTTTGTGATTTGTTCAGTGATAGTAGTATATTAACATGTAAAGACCAGGTGTCCAGATATATCTATTTTTATATGGTATACTAATAAATAATAATATGTAATATTTATGAAGAAAACACTTTTAAAACATAACAGTTATTATATTGTAATTTTTAAAACATGTTTTTCAACTTTGTGGTATGTACAACAATTGTACACTTCGGAATTTGTACAGTGATTATTGTACACATCACGAATTATATAACGCAACTTGTTCAATCTAGTTACTTTTTACAGCAACATTTTACACTTCGCAATGTGTACAAAAAACACTGTACAAATTGTGAAATATACAATTCCGGACTTTGTATGTAACATATATATGAATGACCAGTACATAATAGATACTACCTACCATTTCCTATACGCTGACAAACTAGCGATAACTGCACAAGGACATATGTTTAATGAAATAAAACTAACACTCACACATGTGCTGGAGAAATTGAATAGATACTATGTTCAAACTCACTAAAACCCAATTCAACAAAACCGCAAGAAAATGTATTCTACATAAACAATAATCAAGCAAGAAAGAAATTCAAAATACAGTGGCGGAACATCAATCTTGAACATACACAAACACTTATGTACCTAGGAGTCACATTAAATATGACATTAACCTTTAAAAGTAACTGCAAAAAAATTAAAATGTAAGTTGTAACATGAAATAACCTAATAAAGAAATTAACTGACACAAAACGGAGAGCTAACTCACAGTTGCTACAAACCACAGTACTTGTCTTATTATATTCAACTAGAGTATGCATGTCCAGTATAGAGTAGATCGTGTCATGTGAAAAAGGTAGATGTAGCTCTAAATGAAACGTGCCGTCTAGTAACTGGTTGCTAAAATCTACACCTAGTACAAGTTCTAGCTGGTATAGTTACCCTCGATATTAGAAGAAGTATGGCCAGTGATGCTCAAAATACAGCCCAAGCAAAAGACGAAAAATACCCACTACATGGATACCAACCAGCCTCTAGCAGGTGGAAATCAAGAAAAATTGTTTTGACATCAATCATGGAGATCACAATATCACTTGAATATGAACAACATCCAAGATGGATAGCATTGAACCAAACCAATAGTTTTAAAATCAGAACAATGGAAAAAACTTTCAACCGGATATCGTTATGAATGGAAAATCTGGAAAACACTTGATAAATTGAGAGTTGGTGTAGTTTTAACAAGGAAAAATCTATAGAACTGGGAATACATTATTGAAACGTAGACTGCGACTGTGGAAGTGAACAAATAAAACACATACTAGTGTGCCCTCTGACCCAATGTCATGCATACCTGAAGATTTGGCAAATGCAACAGATGCGGCTATACTAGAAGCCAATTAATGGAGCAAAATGGAGTATAACAAAAAACATCTAAATCATAGCCTGGATACGATTAGAATTGGCAAAATGGTAGGCTTAATAGTAGTATTAGTTAAATGTATGATTGGACGATATTTTAAACACAGAATTAGTCTTGTTACTGATTAACAAAATCAAATTTGGATTAAATCCTCCTTTCCACCTTGCATTGTTAAAAAAATGAAGGCAGTTTGGAGTCCTGTAAGACTGATAGTTGGTTCTTAAATATCCATTGTTCTACTCAGTGCCATCATCATTAGTATTTTTGTACTTAAATCCTAAATGATGGGTGTTGAAATCAGTGATTATTATTTTTATTAATGAATTTATTATTTAAGTTATTAGTACCACAGAAAGCAAATGAAAACAAGTAACAACCAAATGCATACTTATGAGATAGTACAATTCAATTTTTTTATTCTATCAGGAATAGCTAAATTTAACAACTTAATATCCAGATTTAGTCAAAATAGGACTTCCAAGTTTATTACAAGTCATTTCAGCTGTCAATTTCATTCCATAAATTTTAGGTTCATTTTAATTATTGCTTATATTATGTTCTTCCTGAGTACATTTAAAATTACGAGTTTCTTTATATAGTATGTTAGATTAAGTATTTCCTTGTCATTAGTCAAACATTAAATAATTATTGATGTTATCATTAAGGCTTTTATATTACCAATTAAATAACAATAATAATATTTTTGTAGTAATTTTAAGGAAAAGAAAAATAATAAAATTTAGTTTAAGTCCAAAAATAAGCAAAACAAATTAATAGACTTCACAAAACATACTTTGAACAGAATATCTTTAATTTACATTAAGCTTCAAGTATAAAGTTATTTTAGTTACTATTAAAAATGAAATGTAGAACGGATAAATCCTCAAATAAAATATTTACCTTTAACTTCTTGGGTGTTATTAGTTTCTGTGCTTGCAGGAGTGGGTGGACTTCGTTCAGTAACATTATTGGATGTTGATGAATCAACTAAATTCTGAGTTATATTTGATAATGGCGGTGTTGTTGATCCAACATCAACATTTGTTCTTTCACATGGTTCACTATTAACTTCAGCACCTTTAACCTAAATGTAGATAAATTTGGTTACTATAAACATATTTTAAATTATTTATTTGAAAAGGAAATGTAATCAGAATAAAAATACTTGTGATTGAGGAGTAGAAGAACTATGCCTTTGTGCAGGTACATTTGATAGTTGAAATGACTTTTCTGAAGTAGGAGTGCTATCACCACTACACAATTCCATATCTTGTGTTTGTGATGAATCACCTTAAAATATAATAATAGTATTTTATGTTTATTATATCATAGAGGATTTGATCAAAAATATTTTGATGGCAACAACACATAAGTATAATATTAATAGTATTTTTAATTTATAACTTACAGGAATTGATTATTGTTGGTCCATCCTGTTCAAGCCTATCTACATTACACTCAGATACATGATGAGATTGCGTAACATTTATTGGAAGATTATTACTTCTCATTTGATTCCAATAAGCATCTTTTTGATGGTGAGTTGGTCTACTTGTACAATTAACTTGTTGTTGAGAGGATTGCTGTGAAACTTTGTTCACATGATTGCTCATTGATGATGATCTCATCATAGAGTTATTGGAATGTTTGTCTATATGAAAATACGTCAAAATTATTTATAATGGTAATGTTGTTAGTTATAAGTTTCAAATATAATTACAAACCATGGTGGTATTGTGTTCGAGAAGGTTGAGATGCTGGATAAGCTTCTAACCATTCCCTTGGCTGATCCCATTGAGATACTTCAGTTTTACAATTATAATAGTATTTTTTCCCTGAAGAACTTGTATGTTCAGACCAATCACCAACTTTAGTAACAGTTGAACTTCCGCCAGACCTGGATTCGCGGTTATTACTACTACTGCTGCTACTCTATACATACATAAACATAAAACTAAAACAAACTATATATACAAGTAAATTAATCTAAAAATGATATACGTTAAACTGATTTCAGAAATCACCCAGAAAATTTTTGTGATCAAAAAAATTATATCATAATCAAGTCATTATTATAAAATAAGGGATATACAGATATATTATATTAATATATTTTATAAAATAGTTATATTATGATTTATAAAAATAAATCATAATAAACAATAACATTGATGTCAATTAAATACACGAGAAAACACAAAATAATGGTTAATAAATTATAACCATTCTAAAGTAAATAATAAAAAAAGAATAGTAAACCATGGGTACAATTATTTTTCTACAATTTTTAAGAAGTTAATAATTTAAAAAAAAATAGAGATCAATATTTATGAAAAGTCAACAATTTTATACAATCAGAATTCCACATAAGTAGTAGTCTAAAACACATTGGATGTTTAAATGTGAACATGCAATTAATCATTCTTTGAGTTCTTTGAAGAAATTATAATTAACTTTCCTCACACAATTGCACATGCAATGTAAATAAATGTTTATAAATTTACTTATTGTATTTATGATTTAAATAATAAATGAAGATAAAATTTGTTTACCTGACAAGAGCTATGAACAACTTTTCGTTGACCAGATTCTCTAGAATCTCTAGAATCCCTAGAATTTGACCACTTCACAGAATGAACAACCATTTTCTATAAAATAAAATACCATAGTTAAAAATAAATAATGCAATATGTAATTAAAGAATTGACTTACTTCCGGACTAATCCGATCGTGGTTTGTTCTATATTCATCTCTACTTCGTCTATCTTTTGGTGACCTACTATAATCTGAAAAATTAATTAATTTTATTAATTTCATACTATTTACCAAGTTGTGTTTTAAATAAACTACAAAATACACAAAGTATAAAAATTATTATAATATAATAATCAAGATATTTACTAAAAGAAATAAATTAAATCAATAGTTGAAATATAATTATTGTCCCCCTCCATTAAGTTGTAAAACTAACATTATTTAGAATTCTGAATTTCCATTCAATATGTAAAAGTTAAATTAAAAAAAATTGAAAATGTATCATCATATACCTTTTTTTTTCAATTAACTTAGGTAATTAATACATTTTTTGCATATTTTTGAAGAAGAATACATATTACTAATTAATTAGTATTGAGTAGATAATATAAGTATTATTACATATTTTCAAGATGTTTGTTCTAAAATTTTAAAAATCAATCAACACTCAGTAAACCATTTAGACATGACATATTTACATCATTTAAATTAGCTTACACGCTGGAGATCTTTATAAAATTCAAAGTGGTTAGGATTTTACAATTAAGAAAGAAATATGGACTTATTTCCTTTTACATGTATTTCAAATTTAATAATAAAATATGGCAGGCGTAAAAAACAAAATAATAACAAAAAATTATTATATAAATATACTAAATATAAAGATATTCAATATATATTAATAAGTAATAAATCCTCAACCTTCAAATGATTGTACATTTTTAATTAAATCTATCCAACAGATCAATTTTTAGTTGTAGTGCTAGAATCTGTTAATCTGCACTAATTTTAATATGAGAAAATTGAAAATAAGAATTCATAAATATTATTTATTTTCCAAATAAATTAATTATAAAATAACAATATATTTTTTTATTCAGTTCCAAATAAAAAAAAAAACAGAAGATATTAGTTTGTTTCTAACCATCTTGAGTTATCTTAATTACATTTGAATGTTTCCCTGAGCATCATGATGCGTCAAATAGTGGAACAATAGTACAGAAGTTTCACTCTTAATGTAGACATCAACCATGATAGATTTAAAATATATGCTAGAAGCTACAGAAATATTAAAACTTAAGTTTTACTGAGAAATTGATAAAATTGAAACATAAAACAATAGGGTTCCTAAATCATTCACCAAACATGCATTTAATTATATTATAATATTTAGAATATAATATTATGTATTATATAATTAAACACTTACCAGAATATTTATCACTATTCCTAGATTTATAGTCTCGAGAATCTCTCTCCTTATCTCTGTGACTTTTTTGTGAATGATATGAACTTTTGCTAGAGTATGATCGATCTCTTGATGGACTTCCTCGACCAGGACTTGGATACGAGGTACCATTTCCCCTAACACTGCCATACTTTTGGTCACTACTAGAATTTTTTGAAACTAAATATTTGGAATTCTGAAAAATAAATTTATATTTTATGAAATAATGTTATCTGTAAATGTAAAAAATCTAACAATAAACTGTATACATACTATACATAGAACAGAAATGCAAGAGTTTAAACCTAGTTTTTACATGACAAGCACTTGGTTATTAGTCATTTGTTGCTCAATCAAACATCAATATTGACCAAGCCAGTATTTAAACACATTTTATTTAATGGGTTGTTGCTACACCAACCAAAATTTATACTTTATAATCAACTAATTGATACTCAATCGGTAATTTAAACATGCTCAGTTGAGTAGAACTTAAATAGTGGGATAGCAAGTTTCTTCGTTGAATAGAAATAGTTATCAGCAAAAAAAAATATTATACTTTGAGTTTAAGTTGGTCAACTACTTGGCCAAATGCTAGTCTCATTTAAATTTGGCTTTAATGTTTTTGGGCTAAACATATTTACCTTACCTATAAACTCAATGAATGTAATTACAAAATTATCTTATTACTAAGCTCTAAAAATTTTGGATAACCTTTTTAGGAGACATGATAAAGGAATTTTACTAGATAAAAGAGTTTCCATAAAATTTTGATCATTTTTAAAATACCTTATGTGAATTAAATTCAAATCTTTATTAAATTTAAACCATACATTTAAAAAATCCTAATTACACAGCTAGTATCAATAATATATTTCAATATGTCAGACATTGTAAAAAATCATTAAAAGCAATTAAAAATTATATGTATACATTAATAAAAATTAACAAATGTATTTAATTTGGCTAATAATTTACTGCACTAAGAAGAGAAAGTATTATAGTAAAAATGTCTATTAATTTACTAAGTTAATATAAAGTTAAAAAATAAATAAATACCATAAGGTAACATATGATTAATTAATTGTAAACATATATATTATTGATTATTTAATCAAATAAATTAATTAAATATTAGTGTTCACTATAAAGTATACATATCTTACAAATAAAACCATTAACATTACAATTTAGTATATTTTAATCATTTATGGTAAAATTAACTTTAATAGGTGTAGGTAGGACTAATTATTTTTTATTTAATTAATTATTCAATACTTTAACCTAAAATGTACTGTTATTTAAATTATTTAAAGTAGTTATCTAAAAACTAAAATATACATAGATATTGTCAAGTTTCTGATGTTTATTTAAATTAGACCTTTAGATTCAATAAATCAGCTACTAATACTAAGTAATTATACTACAATGAAAATAATGGAAAAATTTTGATTATTCAGAATGATGAGAATAGATTTAACTATATATTAGATTTCATAGGAACCAATATTTTGAAGGACATAATTGTGTACTGTCAATATAATAATCACAATATCCAATATCATTTACCTGATACTGATGGGACGGGTTTTTGTCATAATACCTGTAAACAAAATAACAAAGCATTAACATTATTATCGATGTTTAAATAACTTGAAATTACGTTATTCACGTAATTTGGTAAGTAGGCCTTACCCATCACTAATCCTTTGAAGTTTCCTCGCATGCATTACCATCAATGCCGATTATCTGTGGAAATTCACCGCCCAGTAATGGAATTATATTATTAACAACAAATGTAGGTGGACGTGTACGTGGTTCTAGGGGTCAATAAAACGTAAAAAAATCTTTAAACGCGACCGGACGCCATCAAATGAGACCAATAGTAAAATGTAATAAAATGGAGTGAAAAAGGAAAAAAACATTTAGATGGGGTGAAGATGCTGTCAGGAGTGTGGAGGGGGCTTGTCATCCATCGGAAAGTTACGCACTGCCATTGGTCAGTTTGAATATCAGCTGTCGTTTATAAACAGTGCAAACATTGAAAAGTAAAGTAATTTAAAAATTTAATTTTAATTAAATTAATTTAAAGTCTTAGTTTATTAAAGACACTATATAAATTATGTAGTTACTTATTTTTCCATATCAATTTCCAAAGTAAAACTAAAATTTGATCGAAATTGTTTTATGTTTATTTTTGTTCAGTTTGCAACCGTGGTATATTCGTATAAATTTTGTTTATGCAAAATTTGTCCTTGAAATTAAAAGCACTAATTTGATTAAAAAAGTAAATAAATATTAGTAATATTACCTAAATCCGCTGTAAATGAGTTTAGAAAGTCATCTACATTATCAAATTTATTTATTTATTTATTTATTGACCTACGACACTAAATTAACTAGCTATTGTAATTTCAATAGATGTACAAGTGTACTTAAATTATTTAAACAATGGTAGATGTTCCCGTTCAAGACATGATCAAAAATACATTTACATGGCACAACAAAAATGGCTACAAATCTGGAAAAACGTAATATTTTCTATAGTATTTTAATACTACTTAATTTATTAATTGTTTGGCTTTTGTTTTTATTTAACCAGGTATAATTTATTTAATTATTTTACAAACGTTGACGATTCACATTCAAAATATCTTCATTATCAAATGACTAAACCTTTGTCTGTTCAAGTAAGATCTATGCTCAACTTATTTGTGTACTCTTTTATTGTATTGGTTTATATATTATTAAAAAGATATTTTAAGTCATAAAGTTACCTGAGTATTACAAAGTGGTATTGAAATTTTATATTTTCAAAATTATTTTTAATAAAAAAAAAATTTATATTCATAAATAATTTTAACAATAACTATTCTAATCATTTAATTATTTTTATTTCCAAAGTTTCTACTTTATTTTTACTTTAACTATAATTAACTTTGTTTGATACTTCTAGCATAAAGAAGTATGTGGGCTCCAGAATCTAACTATTTAGTTAGTTTCTGTCTATACATCTTAGTATCAATCTTCAAAATATCAGTTACAAAATTTCATAGTTTACACTTGTTTCTTTTACTACTAACAATATCTAAGCTGACATTCATAGTGTTATTTTATTTAATATTTAATTATTAGTTTATATTTTAAATTATTTTAGACTCAACAAGATTCTCCATCTAAAAGTGATTCTCCTCAACCATTTTATCACATTCATCAGGTAATTCACTCATTTATTCAAATTTCAAAATAATTGTAGTTATAAATAAAGTAAAATATTTCTATTATTGTTGATAGGTTTGTGTTAAGTTTTGTATGATAGGCAATAAATATATTGTTATTGTAATAAATTTGGATTGAGTATTTTTAATTATTACATTTTTGTAAGTCATAATTGATTAGAAACTATTATTATATAAAAAATAAAATATGTCATGTTCATTATAAATATATTTTATTATAGGATTCAATTATTACACAAAAGTCAAGTCCAACATCAGTCAGATTTAGTCCACGTATGGGGTCTAATGCTATTAATTATGCACGTTCGAGTGCTACAAATCGGGTATCAATCGCATCCAATATGTCACCAATGAGCAGTTATAATGTTGATCAATCAATATCAAAGATTAGTGCAATGTTTCCTACTGCATCTGAATCTCATATTAAATCATTATTAAATAAGTAATATAATATTTTAATTATATCTTATTTCTTTTACTATCTAATGATAAATGTTTTAGATATCATAACAGAGAAGCTATTGTTATTAGTGCTTTACAAGTAGAAAAGCATCCAATTGCTACTCCTGGACCATATACACCACCATCAATTAATCGTCATTATATGTTACAAGCTAATCCTTCACCCCTGGCTAGTCCACTACCTAAACCAGCTCATTATTCTCCAAAAATGAAATTAAGGTAATTTTTTTTACATGTATTTAATTTTAAAGAGTTATATGTAAATGAATAGACCCTTATAAATAAATAAAAAACAATGCTAGTATTCGAACAATAAAAAATATTGAATCATTATTTATTTAACACTAAATACTTACCTTAATTTAAATTCATGGGATATTTTAATTGATATTAAATTTAAATATTTACCTCTATTGATGAATGTTTAATTTAATCTAAACTCTTTTGACATTTTTATTTATTTTAAATAATATTAAATTTAACTATTTTATTCTATAATTAAATATTTAATATTGTTTGATTTTTAAATAAATCTTTTAATCAAACTTATTTAAATAATTATGTATTATACGATATATATATATATATATATATGTGTGTGTGTGTGCGTGTATGTATATATTATATATTATAATGTAATTATTTTTTTATTTGATTGTAGATGTTGAAAAATTGTAGAATTTGAAAATTACCTTAAAAGATTATCCCTTTGAATTATCTTTTATTTATATAGTATGAAATTATTATTCAACTAATAATTATTAAAATTAATAACTATAGATGTCTTTGTGGATGTTTGTGTGAGCCTTAAATTTCAAATGTTTTGCCATTATTATTTTTTTCATTTATTTTATTTATTTTTTTTTTTTTTAGCATGAATTTTATTTTTGATGTTTCAGTATATGTAGTTAAGTTGAATTGATAATTGTCTGATGTAATTAGACAATAGAAAATATTTTTTGTGGGAAAAATTTTACATTGAAGGATTTATTTTATAGCATGAATTGGTAAGTATTTTAATCATTTTTTTTTTTTTTTTTTTTTTTTGTAAAATGTTTGAACAAATCTTATATTTTTATTTTTTATTCAAATGTGTTGTTTTATATTTCATATAGATATTTGAAAAGTGTATTTCCTGTAGTAGAAGAAACAGTACTTTTGGATACACTATGTAGTGCTGATAATAATGTTAATCAAGCAACAAAAACATTATTAACTATGGGATTTAATAAACAACATAACATTACAAACAATGTGCCTAAATTGCCTAGAGTTACATTAACAAACAGTGAAAATGATTATGAAGAAGATGATATGTTTTGGTTACGAAGAAAACCATGTGATAATTACGATAAAACTAAATCTACTTGTTCATCTTGGCCTGTTTCTTCTGTTGCATCAACACCGAACAAAAAAATAAATTCTGATGAACAGATAAAAAGTAAAAAAAAAAAACTTATTAAGTTATGATTTAAATATTAATAATAATCTTATTTTTACAGTAAAACAAAGATTGCATGATAAATTTGATAATCAAGAAGAAAAAATTATAATTTTTGCCTTAGAAAGTACAGATTATAATGAATTATTAGCAGATAAAATTCTTAAAAATCATTTAAATAATGAATTTAAATCAAAGGATGAAAATGATGGGTAATAATACTAAAATAGAATAGATTTAAAATAGTTATTAAATCTATTTAATTGCATTGTCCTATTGAATTTAAAATTAAACTAAAAATATGTTTAATATTATTTTAGTGAACTCAAAAGAGAAAATTCTAGTAATAAAGTAACTGGTAACTGTGTTGTTACGAACATGAGCAACTCAAAAACTGAATCAAGAAATTCTTTCTGGTTAGAAAATATTTGTATTATATAATAAAAATGGGTTTAAACTTTTATTCAATTGAATACAGTATATTATAAACACATAGTTATATTGATTTTTGTACTGAGGTCATAGTTTCTGATCCATCCATGAAATGTATTAGTCTACCATTGTTAATTGTTTATAATTTTATCTGTTATAAGTTTCTAATTTATTTTACAATTAATTATAATCCTAGTTCTGTTTTATTAATTTTCTTGTAGTTTGTACATTTATTATTAGTTCTTCAGAGGTGATTTCTCATTATTAATAATATTCATATAAAATGTACATAACTACATAAATGTAAAAGAGTAAAGTAGTTGTAAATAGAATATTTCTAAAAAAGTTATTTATACAGAAATATGAAAATCTTACTTTCTTTTTTTTTCGTATAGTTAATTAACATCTATTTATATTTATGTTTTATTTTTATTTAATGTATATGTAAAATATAATAAAATATTTTTTATTGTATTTAGTGAAATAAATTCTGAGAACGAAAAAGCTGTGGCAAATGATACGCAAAAAAAATTGGCGAAAGGTCCTAATAAAGATTTATTGAGGTAAATTCATTACATAACTATTAACATTCCCTTCTTAGAAATAAATTATTCTTACAGCAAAAAAGTCTTATCTAAGAGTGAATCGCATGAAAAAAATCGAGTGAAACCCAAAGGTCCAAACAAATCTTTGTTGAGTAAAATTCATTCTTTAGCAAAAGGACCAAATAACGAATTGAAAAAAGGACCATCTAAAGGATTAGCTAAAGGTAGTATTTTCCATCGATTATTTAAGAAATAATTACCTATATATATATTATTTTAGATAAAGTAAATTATTTCTATACTCTAATAAAGGTATTTAAAATTTAAAAATGTCTTATTTTGACTAGTAATTTAATTTTGTTACTTATTGTAACAAATTTGTAGATTGTTTATATTGTATTATTTTTCTTTTTTTTATAAGAAACTTTTTATTCAATTCAAAATCTTTTTCGTAACTTGTATGATCTTTTTATTTTTTTTTTATAAAATAAGAATAATTAATGTTAAAAATTTTAACTATATTAAAATAGTGATTACATTTAATTTAGAAAAATGGTGTTAAATTTATTATATAATAATATACTACCTGTTTTAGATGTAAATCATTTCTGTGTATGATGTATTTTTGACAATATCCTTGACTTGTAATGAAATGAGTTATATAAACATACCAGTGTATAACCTATCTGCCTCATAACTATACATTATTAAAATTATGATACAAATTTATTTTATAATTTCCCAATGCCGTTTCAAGGCTAATTTAGAAATGTAAATGCTATCTTTAGGTATACATTTTATTATAATAAAGGAAATAAACAATGTAACTTCAACAAAGTATGCAAAATTGTGAACAAGTGCATGTATTTTGATTTTTAAATAATAGGTACTATATCTTAATCTATTGTTATCACTGATGACATAGTCAATTAATTCTATGAATTTCCTAAGTAGGTTGTTTTTAAATGTAACATTTTACCTTAATTATTGGATTTATCATATTATTTATGTTTCATAAGCTGACTGAATACTTACTAGTGTATTCTACAAATAAGGATTTTGTTAACAATTTTATTTTACATATTTACTAATTCTTAGTGCTAATTTTTATGTTTTGATTTTTAAGTGCATAAAAATTAACTAATAATAGATTTTTTTTAGTGTTATTTTTAGAGCTTTGCCCAGCTGAAAATATCAAGATCTTTAAGTTATGAATAAAATAAAAAATTTAAATAAAGGCATTTGATAGAAAGAGTTTCACCATAACTGATACAATATTTTTGAGACTAGAGGCAGTAGTAAAGAGTGATCGAAAAGTCGCGTTCATCAAAATAAATGTAAACAGCATTATTATTCGTATAGATATGATGCTTGCAGTAGTGTTTTAATTAATCCGTTAGTGAACATGTAATTTTCCCAAAGATTATGGCCTCTTGATTTTTTCCTGTGAGGTTATCTTAGAGAAAAAATTTATAAAAACCGGCCTCAAAATTTGTGTGAACAGAAAAAAAACGTTACAACTGAGAGTAACTTCATAAATGTAATATAAGTACACTCCATAAGGTTGCCACTTATGTGGTAAAACGTGTTCGTACGCGCATTAATGAAAAAGGTGGCCATTTTAAGTTTATGTTGTACATCATGTATAATGTGTGTGTAAAAATTAATTTAAATATTTGGTTAAGTTTACATAACTACACTTATAAGCAATTCAATAAAATTACTTATCATAAACACATTTATTTTGATGTGCATGATTATTTGATCACCCTGTGTTATATGAGAAGACAGCAAAGTTTAATTCAATTATAATACAATTATTGTAAAGAATAAAGGATAATAATAAAGAAAAGTTTTAGATTCTGAAGGAAAGTAACACAGAACGACTTAGGAGCATAAACTAAAGCACTGAAAAGTCTAAATTAAAAAAATATTTTTTATTCCTTAGGAACTAATAAGTCGTAATCTTGAACTGTAAGCCTAGGAAATTCTCTTTCGTCATTTTCTTGAATTTCTTTTTTTAATTTATCTTCATAATGCACTTTTAAGTAAAACAAAGTATCTATAAAAAAAATTAAAAATTAACTTATTACATCAGCGTTTGTAACAAAACAACTATATTCAATTAAGTAATTAGTTACCTTTAATATTATTTTTTAATTGTGATGGAACTATTCTAATAAACCACTGACGAAAAAGTCTAAAAATAATATTACTATTTGCACCTGGATATAATTGATTGGTTATTTCTATCCAATTTACATCGGCAAAATACTTATGATTTTGTTGCAGTAATCTAAAAAATAATATATTATTAACTATTAATTTAAATTTACAGATCAAAATGACTTACAACTCTAATATATTTAATCTTAGTGTTGACATTTTAATAGGCTTTTCACAAAATAACATGGTATATAAACAGTTCCATTGAAATCTAACTTTTGAATAAGTTACATCTTTGCCAAGGTTTTCTGCAATTTTAATTAATGTTTTTTTTTTTAATGTCAGATTTTTTAAGTCTCTCCAGTTATCTGTATTTGTTTCTATTAGAATATTTGTAAATAGTTCTTGACGCTTTTCATCATCCCAAATAATTTCTAACGAAATGAAAAAATTATTTTAATTTTATGAATTGCTTTAAAATATGCTTTTCTATATTAATATGATTTACTTACTATTACATTTTTTATATTGATTTTTTAAAACATCATGTCTTCTATAAAGTTGTAATTTAGATCTATTTAGAATTAAACTTAATACACAAAATTTGTTTTGAATTGCACGACATTCTTCTACTTTCATAATTAATTGATCTTCTTCTTCACTAAAACTATGAAGTAAAACAGAAAAATCATTAATGAATGAATAATTTTAAAATAAGATTTTAATGTCATTATAACACATATATTTTGTTATATTTTGTTTGAGACTTACCTTAAATACAGAAATTAATAATTTAAAATATGCTCATATAAAATATCATGGAAAATTCTAGAGATGTTGAATTAAAAAATGTATATTAATGAAAATTTAAAAGAATATAATTTTTATTTTTTTTAGTTTTATACATATATAAATATTAGTACATACGTGTAAAGAGTAACAACAATCATTTTTACTAACTTAAATAAATTGCCAATAGAAATTCTGTTAAAAATGTATAAAAAAATTTAAAAGATATTCTAAAAAATTATATTATTTTAATTTTAATAAGCTTTAATTTAAAATGTTTTTTAATAGGGTTGAAGAGTTCACTTAGTATAAGCAAGTATTATTTCTTGATATTTTTTTTTTTATAAATACATACAATTATAAAATTAATCATTGTACTAATATAAAGTATAATAGACAAAATTTATACCATGTTTTATCTCGACGTTTGATGTACAGATTATTAAATCTATTACAAACTGAATTTAATAATCGATTAGGAAGTCCTGCCGATATATAACGAAAAAATTGGAACCTTTGTATATTATTTAAAGCCATTTCAAACCCATCAACAGCTAAGAATGGTAGAACATTTGAAATGTTGTATTCCTGAAATTGTAATTATTGTTATAAATATATATATTACATTATAAAATATTAAATAATACAAATAGTTCAGTAATTGAACAAACCTACTATAGTTAAAATTTATTGAAGGTAATGACTAGGGCACAGATGTTGTAGAACTAAAAAATTAGTATTGCACTTAAAATATAAAAAATTGAACCATATGTAATTTTTTTAAATTTTCAAAATTCATTATCCTTTGGTTTGGAGCCAATGAGTTTTTATACTTTGAAAAACTTTGTTCCACGTTGATTAATATTAACAGAGCAAACTTAAAATAAACTAAATCGCTTACCGCCAATCTTCAGGTAAACCTTCAAACAATATTTATAAAACCGTTTAAAAAGTATTAAAAAAAGAGAAATTATGTGAAAAACTTTAAAAAAATTGTTAAAATTGTTTTATAAATGAGTAAATTCAATAAAAATCTGAAAGTTCCAAAAATCGCTCTTAAAACTTTTAGATTTTAGTTCGTACTTACATGACACGCATTTAAAACTTACTTAGCAATTAATTGAAAAAGTAGAAAAAAAATTTGTAAATGCAACAACACCCGTGCCCTAGTAATGACTAATGATTCAACTAATATTTGTTTTATAAATAGAAATAAATAATACCTTTTGAAATTTTGACCAATATTTACGAATCATATCATCTTCATCTGCATTAAATACTCTTATTTTTACCTGAGGATTGAGTTTTTTTATAATATTAATTTTTTCTTTATTCGGAGGTCTACTTAAAGAAGTTTCAATAAAATGAATTTTATTGTTTTTACATTCAGGTGGTAATGTAATTATTAAACCATTCAGACCCTAGATAAAAAAAATACATATTATATGAAGTATATATTGAAGAAAAATATTTTAAGCAATAATATACCTGTGCAGAATCAATTTTTTCAACAATTTTTTCCAAAATAATGCTTCCTACTGTTTTTAGCAATACAATGTCAGACCCTGTGATTTCATAGTTTTTATTAATAATTTTCTTGAGTTTTTTAGACAATGTTTCTTTTATTTGTTTAAATTTAGGATGATCTCTTAATGAAGGATTTTTGTTTTTTAGATATTTCATTAAATTAAATTTGGTTTCAATTTTAGTAGACTGGTCTTCAAAATCATGGGTCTCCATGGAATTTAGCAAAGTCTTAAATTTACATTGATTTTGAGAAATTTTAAGAACAGATGAAGTATTAAAATTTTCTGAAACCACTGGCATATTATTTTCATTCATTGGCTTGCCATAATTATTATCACTAATTAAAATATTTTCATTAGAATTCAGGTTTGTTCTTTTGATTGTATTGATTTCTTCTATATTATTATTGCTACTAAATTCTAATGAATTTAAACTTTTGTTGTATTTTTTCTTCTTTTTGGGTGTTTTAGTTTGAACATTCTCATTATCCACACTACAATTTTTTCCCAATGAAATATCTGATGAAGTATTTATTTCAGATTTAATTACTTGGTTTAAATTTTCTTCAGACTCAAAATCATTAATATTTTGTTCACTTAATTCTTCAAATATTATATCTCCTGTGTCATAAATGGTATTTAAGCATTTATCGGGCTTTTTCTTTTTTTTAGGTTTTTTTGTTGGAATATTCTCAATATCTGCCATAGCACTTATTTCATACTTTCTTTTTTGGCTTATATTTTTTGAAAAATAAGAATCAATTTCTTTTTCTTTGTCTTTTTCACAAGTATTTTCAAATGATATAATTTCCATATCATTATTTGTACTTAATTCTATCGAATTTAAATTTTTATTGTGCTTTTTCTTTTTTTTAGGTTTCTTAATTGCTGTGACATTCTCATTATCTACGCTAGAATTACTTTCCAATGAAATATTTAATGAAGGACTTTTTTTTT